AATTGGGTTAAGTTCCGAGTTCTTATGATTGTCGTTTGATACAATATAATTAATCTGATTTTGAGATATTTTAGATTCCCAGATTCTAGCCTTTTGAGTTATTAATATCATATTAAACAGGTTGATTGATAAAGCTTTGGAGAAAGGAGTAAAAGTTGCTGTGTGCAACACGTCCAATGAGAAGGTGGTATGCTAATCAGGTTCTACAACTATGATTACTGTATGATTGCTTTAGTTTGGCCAAGGATGATTTGCAGTAAATCTGAAAATTGCAGTTATGCTAATTCCATCATGACGCATTTTTTAAAGTCTCAAATAAACCTGGCACTTATATGGAGGGTTCTTATTGAATTCTCAAGTCTAATCTTCCTACAGTCCATTTGGGAGTCTGATTAGAAGGCTGCTTCCCCCCCACTATAGGTGTTTTTGGTGCAATGGGAATCCTCCAATCAGGCTCCCTAATGAAGCTTTAGTCAAATCCATTACACATTGAAGCTTGGTTATTGTATGTTAGGATTGATATAAAGAGTTTTGAGATCTTCTTATTGAATTTTATTGTATCAAATAGCTGAACTATATATGCTACTTTTAGGTCTCTGCAGTGGTTTCATGTTTACTGGGACCAGAGCGAGCAGAAAAAAATCAAGATATTTGCTGGTGATGTAGTTTCTTGTAAAAAACCTGATCCAGTGAGTATTTCATTACTGTTAAAGTTAATTGTAGAAAGGCAATGGAAACAAATGGATGTAAATATCATTTAGTTTTGCTCTCAGAACCTTCAAAACAGAAATATAACTTCAGTCATGAGTAATCATTATAAATACAGAAGAGGCTTCTAAATTCAATGCTTAATCAAGCATGCTTTATTTTTAGACGTGGCAATTTATGTATTTGTCAGTTTATTTCATGTCTAATATATGTAAAACCCGAAAATTAGTATGTCATAATTTATGTTCATATGCCAAACACAAACAAGTTATTTGGTTTTTACCCAACTCATATACGGTTTTTTGCTAAACTTTTGAATTTTATCACTATATTATATTTTTTTGATTATATCACTGTATCGTATTTTAAATCATCAGGTTTATTAATATGGTTAACAAGTGACCCATTACAATTTGCGTTCATATGTTTGTCTACATGAAGATGTATTATCTGCTGCTAAAGACTACATATTCTTTCTGGCAGGCCATCTATACATTAGCAGCAAACACTTTTGGTGTTGATCCTCCGAGGCATAGAATGCTTCCAATGCTTTCAAATTACTGACTCCTCAACCTGCTGGCAATTTTATGAAAGTTCCTATTCAAATGCTTATATTTTCTATTGTTAACATGCATTTGTTTTATGAGAAAAAAATGTTTATAAACGTTGATTTCTTTTCCCAATTTGTTCCTCAGCTGTGTTGTTGTAGAAGACAGTGCCATAGGACTAACTGCTGCCAAAGCTGCTGGAATGACTTGCATAGTGACAAGGAGCAGGTAACTATTTCTGCAGGCTTCTTTCAAGCTGCTTAAGTACTGTGCTTATTGCCCATACATGAAAAGTTCTCTTACCATATCCCAGCCCTTTCCCCCTTTCATCCTTTTCCTTGAAACCAATTTCTAGGTCTTTATCATCCTATAAGACAGTAAGACTATGAAAAGTGTCCTGAATCTTCCAATCATGCCATGCATTAACAATTCATGTTACACCCGGCGCGGGCCAACAACAACCGATTTGGGTTAGGGTTTGGGGGAATCCAACTTGAATTGCCCATACTTCCCTTTCTTTGTTTTCTTTTTATCGAGATTTTAATGTTTAAAAATGTATTTTAATTTTAGAACTAAATTAATAATTATTTATTAGGATAATAATATTTCAAAGACCTTCAAATCTTAAAAATATGCTCAAATCCAATATGAATGTAATCAAATACTTAACCATAATTATCCAAATTCGTATAAATATTTAACCCATAAACACATTTAAAGGTGAATTATGTCTAAATCATGTAATCTATTAATATAATATTTAACTTTTAGTTTCAAATAAAAACGTTTAAATGTGAATTATACTAATAATCACATGATCTGTACGTGTAATACTGAATTATTAATTCTAGATTAAAATTTAAATTCTTACGATCTCAAATACTTTAAAAACTACTATGAACATATATAATTTGTCATAAGTTTTCGTCAAATAAAAACAAATTATATGGTTACAAGGATTTCTTTGCATTTTTTGATGATTAGTCAAGCCGAAAAGCTGCTTGTGAAAAGCAATATGGGAAAAAAGACAAAACAATGAAAAAAAAAGGGCGGTTTGAAGATAAAAGATTCTATTCAAAGTTCAAACAAAGACAAAATAAGATAATGGAAGGATCAGAATAAGGTTAATAAATACTAGAAATAGACTGCCAAACCAATTTAAAAGCACCAAAGAAGACTAGCTTGAGAGGAAATTCAATGTACTGATATGAAAGACAAGCATGGGTTCATATCATGAGAGCGAAACTGCATCAGAATGGACCTTAATGCTTCCAAAATGAGTGATTCCTTCCACACCCTAAACCTTGGGAGGATTTATTAAACTTGACAATTCGAGTCCTCATATTGTATTTCATATCAAATACGATTTTAAATATAATATGAATAATTTTGAAATAAACATAATATGAATACATGAATGACATGAATAACTTAAATAAAAACATGACACGTTTATTATATTGTTACATGTAACACGATATAATTAATACTTTTGAAATTAATTTATATCTAACTAACACAACATGATATAATATGATTAATATAATTCTATACGAATAACAAGATTAGACACGATTAATTACTCAAATAATATGACACGACACAACATAATTAACACGATTATATACAAATAACACGATTATATACAACTAATTCATTTATTTAAATAAAAAATATCATTTAAATCAGTATTTAAATAAAAAATTTTAAAAATTAAATATCTAATATATTTAAACACTAAAATAATATGATAAATATGATTATTAATTTATTTTTTAAATAAATTAAAATAATTTTTTAAATTTTTTTATGTTATGAATAGTATCATGTTTTAAGTGTGTCATTACTATTTGACACGAACACCATACAAATAATGTTGTGTCTTAATCATGTCGACATAATTAAGACACGAAACACAATTACATTAAATTCACATACAATTTTTTCCGTATCATTTTCTTGTTGTGTCATCATGTCGTGTATAAAATTATCAGGTCTAGGATATATTATGCTCTCCTCTTCTCTTGATACGTCGGTAGCTCTCACTGCCATTAGAAATTTGCTACAAACCAGAGGAAAATATGATGATGGGTATAAGATACAGATAAAGGGATTGATTGTAAATTGCTTATCTTAACAGTGGTATGATTTATTGGTAGAATGTTAGCTTTTAGTCCTAGTGACCAATGTTCAACTTCAGCTGATGCTGCTTTACAGAGGATTTGCAAAAGGTAGCCTAGCAAAAGATGAAAACATTAGAGGCTGAGCAAAAAGTAGTCATTAACGCACCACAGCCTTGCCTAGAGAGCTACAGGCATTGAGAATAGTCAGAGTTGAACCTAGTGATCATCCATATAATCTAGATGCCGAAATTCTTGAAAGGACCAGTATACCTAATTCCAGTTGCTACATGACAATTAGTCTAACGGGGGCATGGCTTAGATTGTAAGTTGATGGTTCAATGCTCAATAATTCATGTAGGTGCCTGCCAAAATTCCTTTGGCTATTGTATATATATCCCGCCTTTACTAGAAGTTTAAAAGGAGAAGATTACCCACAGATTTTTGTAGCCCAACATTATATTGGGATGTTGGTCGATTAGATTCTGGCTATGTGACATCCATCAAGATTCCTGAAATGAATATGCTTCAATGTCATCTGCAAAGAAACCAGCATTACATAGCAAGTCAAAAACAAATAGAAAAAAAATAAAACATACTTATTAAGTTAAAATTGTTTCCCCTGAATTCAGTTTTTGATTCTTTCTCTTGCTAGGGAAGAATTATTATTGCTTCAATGGATATACCATGAGAACCTGAACCATAACATCAATTCAACCAGAGTTTTGGCCATCTTCTCATCTTTGTACTGCCTATAACTGGAATCAACTTCATATACTTGGAATGTTTTGCATTCTTTGCTATAAACTACTGATCATGAGTAATATCTTTCTGATCTATTGATCCAACTCTGACTCAAAAGACCATTCATTTGTCCTTTATTTTTCTTCAAATGCTATTTACCCATCAGGCCATCACACTGACTGTTCCTTATAAAATATTATGATTTTTTTCCTGTTAATAACCATGAATTGTACAGCATGGATATGATTGGTTGATATCCTTAATATCTATAAAGTAGTTTTCTCAACTCTATGATGGGGTTGGCTAGTATGGAGAAAGGTCAAGGAATGATTTATACTTGGCAGGTTACCAGGCCTAAAGCGGGAATGGGCATCCAGAAAGTTCATAAAACACTGACCTACCAGCTAAAATAGACCTAAGCTATACTGTCTTGCTTATCAAGAACAACACTAATCATTTGATTCTATAAGGCAGATAACTCAGACATCCAAAGTATATTCATGCAAATTTAATCTGAATTTAGACAATTACCTCCTAGCGTTGTGTTGATGCCAGATCACATTCACAGATAAGCTGTGGCCGATCTACTAGCTGGTTAAGGGATCAGAGCAATATTTTGAAGGCTTTCATTACAAAAGGATAGGCTTATTGGTCACAGAATGCTAAGATCATATTTTGGTGGGGTTAAGGATTAGAGCAAAATTTGTCACCTTCCACCGCAAAAGCAAAACCATCTAAGTGCTAACACTTGATCATTGCCATCTGACACCATATCTTGGAATAGATGAAGATCTCATGCAATCTCAACTTTTCAAACCAAAGGGCACTAGTAGACAGGATAGACAAGTCTCCAAAGAAAAATCAAGAGTGACTAACTGAGCTGTCATATAATGCAGAACAGGCATCATTGCTGACCACCATGAGCAACATCAGGAGTTTTACGATGCTTTTTCTTGTACTTCCAGAATTCATCTTTCTTCGTCTTCCTCTTTCCTTTGACCATGCCCATTTTGCTATTAATTATACCAAGTATAGCACTCCTGTCCCTCTTGTTCTGTGTTGCAGCTTTTACATCCAATATTGTCCTAAGCTTTTCATAGGACTTTATATCAGGAACTTGCCCACTTTTTACCATCTGTTTGCGATAATAGAATGCCCTCCTAAAGTCACGAACCTGAACAAAGCCATAGATCATGATTGAATAAGTGAAAGAATCGGGTTTTGGATTGAGAGTTGCCATCTCTTTCAACAGTTGCGGCAATTTTTGGTGTTCCCTCCACTTGCATATGCATTCATCAGCATATTATCTGTCATTACAATAGGTCGCAAGCCAATCTTCCCCAATTCAGAAAATAAATCCCTTGCTTATGCATACTGACCTTGTTTAGCAAATCCGTCAAGAAGACTGTTAAATAACTCATGTACCTTCAATTTTTTTACTGATCATCAACTTCCAAAACTTTCATCAATGTTTGAGTATCACCTACACGCCTAATGCATCCAATTTAGATGGAGGGCTTAGTTCCTTCTCGCTGCACCTTTCCATGCAAACCACTGATGGAATAAGCATGGTTAAGGGATGTATAAGAATGTGAAGTGGGTTTTTGCCCAACTTTTTTCATCCTCGAGTATGCGTCTGCAGCCCTGTCACTCATCTTCTTCTGTCTCCCATAGGCGCTAAGCAGGCAAGTATATGATTTAGCATTCAGCTTCAAGCGCATGTCCTACATGTCTGACAGCAGCTTCTCAACAATTCGGCTGTATGTATCCATAACTATGTTAAAGGAAGCAGATGTGAGTGTAAGGCCTTTTGCTTTCATCTCAGCAAAGAAGGCATCCACTTCCTCAATTTGGTTTGACTTACTATAAGCGTCCATCTAAGTGTTGTACACTACGGTATTGGAAGCAACCCCTTTCTTCTCCATTTCTGATTGGATTATAAAGGCTTCATTCTTCAGCCCTTCATCACAGAAGGACGTTATTATCACCCCCAAAACTTCAGCACTCCATTTACTCCTTTTCTGTTCATTCTTTCAAAAGAACTCCCATGAATCTTTTGCAACGCCTTGTTTTCCTCATAATTGTAATAATTATGGAGCATGTAACATGATCTGGTAGAACATTGTTTGCTTCCTTTGCCTCATAGACTTTCCAAGCATCATCATGCCTATATAAGTTGTAAAGAAATAAGAAAATGCCACTCCTACTAGTTTAATAAAGAGATGACTTGAATGTCCTCTTAACTACAGTAAAATTTTAAAAATCTTTAACGTGCCACTTGAATTTACTAACGTATCTCATTTGAAATTACTTATATTAGGTGATTAGGAGTGAGTATCACATTAATTAACAAAATCATAATTCATGAATCACATTGAAAACTGTATAATTCATGGGTCATTAATGCCATTAACCCTTTAATAAATAGTAAACTGTTATCACCAAGCAACCACATTTATTTGAACCTCCCAAAAACTTACCTTTTAGAGCACAAAGCCCTGAAATGGCAGCTTTAAAAACCTGAACATCTCTAAACGCCTGACTCTGTGGCAAATTCCTAAACAAAATCTCCAACGACGGAAACATAACCGAACAAGCTCGAGGTGAAACAAGACAAGGCTCCTGCAACCCCATCCATTCAAAAAAGTACAAGCACCCCAAAAGAACACCTTCCTTTCCCATCAATACCAACACTTCCAAGCACTCCTTTTCACTCAACTTCGCAATTCGTACAATTTCTCCCACGAAGCCTTCAGATAGTTCGGTTGAGTCTCCATGCATAGAATCTGTTTGTTGTTTTGCTTCTAACAAAATATCTTTTCCATCAGGCTCAGTTCCGGAGTCAAATTCAGGGTCAGGTAAGGATCGAATATCCGGTGCGAGGTGCCAAGAAGAGAGGCGGTTCTTTTGGAGGGACAATTTGCCTTGGCGTGGTGGGTCAGGAGTTGGTAGGCGTGACTTGAATAATCTGATAAATGGTTCTTTTCTGTCACCTTCTTCTTCATCTTCCTCTTTTTCAAGTTCTGGGATTTAGGGTTATCTGTTTCTAGTTCTTGTTGTTGGGGTTCCTGAAAGAGAAGAGGTTTCGAAGAAGGATTATTTGGGAAGTGAGTGCGAAACATGAAGGTGAATGAACCACACAAGGTTTGCTAAATCAGGGACATGGTTAAAGGTTTTACGTATAGATATTTCAGTTCAGTGCACTATACTTTGCTCATCTTAGCGATGTGCTCTTAGTGAAAGAGCGCGCTCCGGCCTGGCAAAACGCAGCGTTTAGGTGGTTGACAAAGAAACAATATTGAGCCGTTCGTTTTATATGATGCGACGAGTCTGTAATTTCGAGGAAGGTGAGAAAAAAATCGAAAAAATTAAAATTGATTTGAAGTTATAGTATTTGATTTGATTTAAATTAATTTTTTATTTAGTTGAGATTAAATTTAAATATTAAAATATATATTAAATTGAATTTCATATTAAAATATAAAAAATCGAAAAAAATAGAATTATATATATTTTAGGTTTTATATATTTTTAAAATTTTTATAAAATAAACTAATTATTTTTTATAAATCTATTAAAATATATAAAAAAGTTCAATTAAAATAATATATAAAAATAAAAAATTTTAATTTAAAATTTAATAAATTGAACAAAACTAATAAAAGTCAATTTAAATAAATGATTCAAAAAAAAATCAATTTAAATTCAGATTAAATTTTAAAATTTATAATATTATATATTATCTAAAATAATAGAATCAACTCCATCCAATTTTAATCATTGTAATCATTAATTTCATATATTTCTTATAGGATTAAATTATTACGTATTAAGAGTTAAAAATTCACACTTTGCCATTTGATTTTTATTACTAAAATTAAAATTTCAACATTTTAACAAACAATTAAAAATTCTTAAGTTATAATTTAAATAATCAATAACAAAATTAAAAATACATAATAATATTTTCAATCAATTCGAAATTACAATGTTCATAATTAAAATTGAGAAACAACTTCCTTCACAAATAGTTTGGCAAGGTATCGATAGACTTCTTGGGTGGGATGAACACTATCCCAAAACAAAAACTGTGAAGGTTTTCTGCATATTGGAGTCAATGGATTACACAGGAATGAAACCTCCAGGAGTCCAGTGCCACAGCAACCTTTCTTTGTTTCTACAAACCCTGTTTTGCCATGCAAAACAGTTAAAATTTGGCATAATAACGTAAGTATTATGACTTGAAGAACACAGTTAGATTATTACCATATTGTTGAGGATGATTTATCATGTCAGCCAATGGCTCATAAACGTCTGCATACACAATCTTGCTGCATGGCAGCGTTGCTTGTATTTCAGGCAACAGTTTCACAAGCTTCTTGTTGTAAGATTGAGCATCTGAGTTCTGATCCTCCAAGCATTTTCGATTTGTTGGAATCTCAAATCTGGCTGTCATTTGAATTGGTAGACAACCAATTGGAGGTAGGCCAGCTACAACCATTTTTCGGCATCCCAGATCATATAATTCCTATAAACTCAAGCACAGGTACCGCATATATGAATACTGCAGTTCAAATCTGTTTTCTTTTTGTTGCTTTGAGTCTCAGAGCTAGTAAAGCAAGACATTAGCAAACTTGTAATAATTTGAATTATGAGTTTTAAGCACCCAATATAAAACCCCCCAAAAAAAAAAAAACAGTTTCTCATCACGTGTAGACGAAAACAGAAGCTGAGATAAACATGAAGGGTAGCAAGCAAGAATAATAGGCAAGAACAATAGAATAGAACATTGGTTGTTAAACATCTAACTTAAAATCAATCGGCAATGGAATAACTTGAATATAAGTCTGACAAGAAACTAAATATTAAACAGATTGAGTTGTTTCTACCTTGACGAAATTTTGTAGCCTTTGAAGCAGAAAACAATGGTACCCGCTGCTGTCAAACTCCAATCGTCTTGTTGGTATATCAAAGAAATTTAAAATAAGGTCATTAGTTCCTGCACTGATTATCACCAGAGCCTCACCAATGATGTTCTTGGTCTTCTCTTCTCCTACAACTCCCTTCAGCTTCTCCATGTAACTTTTAAAGAGCTCAACTTGCTTTGAAACCGGGATGACATTGGATAACACAGTGGTTAAATCATCGTATCCTGATCCAGCAGAGGCAAAGCTCACACCAGTGCGGAGCTCATTGTCTGACAGATTTGGTTTCAGGAAAGGAGGGACAGCCTCTTTGATTCCCAGAGAAGAGGCCACAAAGTCAGGCACAAGTTTCCCATCTGAAAACCTCCCTGTAGGAATGTGGCCTGGATAGTTTTTTCCATATGGGGGTTCATTGGCTTTAAACAATGTGCTGATATAGTTGTTATTACCGGTATCCACAGTTGAATCACCAAAGATGATAATGGCTGGGAACTTTGGCGGTGGCTTGATGGCGCTGCAAGTGTTGATCCAGGTCATCCAAACAAGTAGTACGACAATAACGAAGATGTTGGAGGTTGCCATCTCCCAACTTCTCAAGGAGAACACAGAAGCGGTTTTTCAAAGGAGAAATATTGAGAATATATACTTTATGAGTGGATTACTATTTAGATTTGAAACCATTAGATATTTCACTTCAAATTCTAATCTAAAATCAATTTGAATTTATTGGTTTGAAAATTTTTATTTAGTAATAAGAGAAATTATCACATTAATTGGACAACGAAAATTTTAGACTCGAACAATCTCTATATACGACTTATAAAATTAAAGAAATTCAACTGTATATATGTGTAATATAATTTTGTATGAAAAGCAAAATAGCGTAAAAGGAATGTCAAGTTAAATTTTCTCTAAAAGTAAAGTAAGACTATTGATAATAACCACCACACTTGAGTGAGGCCACAGTCTTCTAGCAAACAACGCATTTCTTAATATAGGTCTAAAGAGATAAAAAACCATAATCCAGAAGCCAGATTGGAAGTGACTTCTAAGTGTAAAACTACTTATAGAAAGGTAACTATCTGAGCCATAAAGGCATTTGTGGAAGACAGAGATTTGGGATGAAGTAAGATGGAGTAGTTGTGTTAATGAAAAAGTGTTCTTGATAAACAAGATAATTTTATCTCAGAATAATGTAAGCAATGAAGGATAATAATGGAATAAGCCCAACAAAATTATAATATATATATATATATATTTATTTATATTGTTGATTACCACCAAGTGGTTTATGTTTCTTCTTCAGCTTGATAATAGAAAAAAAAATTACAAGTGTTAAAAATTTAACCTTCTAACCTGCTTGATACCGTCTATAAAAATATTGGCATAAATTAATTGAGTTAAAAACCTAATTCCAAGAAACTGCATTTTAATCAGCTGTAAGAATCGATGAAAACCAATAAGTTGCGGTTATTATTCAGCTGTCTCAAATAATTAATCAAGTGAAGAAAAGCATCTCCTCATGAAATCAATTGTATTAAGGATGTCAATGGATTATATTCATCCCTAATCCATACTCAAAGGTATTTCAAATCTATCCCAATTTTCCCATATATTTAATAAATATGAATAATTCTTTCACTTATAGCTTTTAAAAAATTAAAATTAAAATATTTAATTTTTATCTCGTATATTTTTATAATTTTTTAATATATATTAATATATTTTTAAATAAAAAATATAATAATAATTATTTAATTATTTAATAAAAAATCTATCTATTGAATATATAAAAATATATATGTAAAGTACGAGATGGATGTTATATTATTCATTTCCATCTCAATATTAAATAAAAATTTAAAATTGCATCCATCGACATCCTTCTCTCTATCCTTTTATATATGACCTATTCGGATATAAAATCAAATTGATATGGTAAGATTGACATTCCTAAATTGTATGACCACTGCATAATTTAAACTCAAAAAGTGTGGCAAACTAAAAAAATTCTACTGTAGATAGTTACTTCATTCACTATTCTCTTAAAATTATTGTCTTTTCTCAAGGCTAATTCGCAATTGTTTCCTTTGTTTTAACTAATATTAACAGAAAACTAAACCATGTTAGGCCTTTGCAAAAGCAGGAAATTGTAGAACTTATTGTTGTAATGGTTTTGGAGCTGGCCAACAAATTTGGAAATGAAAAACGGAGTCACCATTAATTTTTTTAAAAATTAAATACGATTGATTACTTATTAAAATATATCTTCTTAATGAAATTTTAAAATTAATTAAAATTTATTGAAAAGATAATTTTAGAATCTATGAAATAGTCTGGGTCTGAGAATCAGTTATGCGTGAAAAAGATTTAGCACCCATATAGTGCATATTTAAAACAATACTAATTAATTATGTGTTATTCATTGATTTTAATAAAAACAATTTTAGGTTCAGTGTTTGAAAAATAATTTCTTTAACTTCTTTTGTTTATTGAAATTTTAGTGTTTTTATTATTACTTATTACCTTTTATTATTCATTTTTGTGTCATTCTATTTTATTCGAGAAAAATAAATTAGAACTCTTTTATTGAAATAATTTTTAAAATGTTCAAGTAAGTTGGTAACATTAAAAGAATTTTTTTTCACTTAGAGATTTCTTTAGACATCGCTTCTTGGAATATCTTAGAATTTCATTCTCGGAGACTCGAATTTACTTTTCGTAAAAAAAAACTATCGCGCATGTAATGCAAATGATAATATATTGATGCATATTTTTTAATTTTTTTCTTGTAGAAATTTTATTGGCTTTGTTTATTAAATTATTATTATTATTTTTTATTATTTTAAGAAAATTTTTTTTATCATATTGAAGATTTTTTATAAATATTCTAATATACTGATAATATTTTCAAAAAATCTCATCACCTAAGGATTTTGTAGAGCATCTTTACTCAAAATACTTTTAGAATCCCGTCGTCGGATAAAATTTTCTTTTTCCTTATTTTTTATCACTTTATTTTTTTATTAGTTAATTTTTATTTACTATTTTATAACAAAAAAATAAAATTTTTATTATATTGAAAACTTTTTATAAATACTCTAATATACTAGTAGTATTTTAAAAAATCTTCTCATTTAGAAATTTTGTAGGTATCACTACTCAGAATATCTTTAAATATCATCTTCAGATAAAAATTTTCTTCTCTTACATTTTTATTATTATTTTTTATTTTATAAGATTTATTTTAAAATTAACAAAATTATCAAAAATTTTAACTATATACTTATTATTTATTTTTAGTTATTTCAACAAAATTTTATTATAACAAATATCAACATTTTAATATACATAAAATTAATATAATTTAACATAACAAAAATAATTCAAAAAAAAATTTTTTTATTTGAATTGGACCGATCAATGATTCGATCAACACTAATTTTGGTCGACCGGTTAGTTTAATGGTTCAAACTAAGCTTTTGGTAGTTCAAGACAGATTCAACATGATTGATTTAAGCTAAAAGGAAAGCAAATCACTAAGTCGGATGCACAGACCCCGAGTCAAGTCAAGGCAGACACGCAAATCCTTTTAAGGTCAAAACAACGTCGTTTCACTCCTTAAAACAATATTGTTTTAATCCTTATTGAAATGATATCGTTTTGGCTTTTGACAGTTTATATAAAAGACTAAATTTTTTTTACTTCATTTCTCCAATCTCTCCTAAAAAAAGATCTTTTTTTTTTTCTGAACTAAAAAAAAATCCCAAGGGCCAGCCAATCACCATCGTTGTTGTGCTGCCATTGCTGTTAGTCACTGTCTGTCATTATCGGCACCGAAAAACTTCCAAAATACATTAAAAAAAAATCCTTCCACCCCTCTCTTCTTAGATCTAACCTCCCTTCCTTGGAAAACAATTTCAATCACTGTAGATCGAGACTGAAAGTTTCAGCCAAATTTTTTTTTATTTTGTTACTTTTTTTTATGCTGGCGCTAGGTCTCCCTATAACTAGGGGATGTGGTTTTTTTGTTTGATTTTGCTTATTATTCTTGTTTTTTTTTTTTGACAAAAAGCTTTTTTTTAACCTAACAATTTTCTTTGTAGGGTTTCTCTTCTCTTTTTTTGGGGTTAGCTATAAAACTCTATTTATATAGCTCTAGCCATGACATTTTCCTTTTGTTTTTGATTTGTTTTTGATTTTTTTTCCTAATTTTTTTAAATGAAAAATAAAAATCTAAGAAATTAAAAATTAAATACTGATTAAGACTATTTAAATCAAAATTTGAGGATAACACATAGTTAATTTTGGCCTGACTCTCGATAAAAATGACTTCTCCAATGAAGTTGCCAAGCTGTCGTAATGGTTTTGAAACTGCTCAACAAATTTGAAAACAAAAAATAAATAAAACAAAAAAAATAAAAATGGAGTCGCTACCAATCTTTTATTGCCTAGGTATAATTGGTCACCTATTAAAACATATCCTCTTAATGATATTTTAAAATTAATTAAAATTTATTAAAAAGATAATTTTAGGATCTACTAAACAGTTTGAATCCGAGAGTTAGTTACACATGAAAAAAGATTAGCACTCCACAGTATCCATTTAAAATGGTACCAATTAATTACGTGTTATCTATTAATTTTGATAAAAACAATCTTAGTTTAGATGTTTGAAAAAAAAATTCCTTGACTTCTTTTATTTATTGAAATTTTAGTGTTTTTATTATTACTTATTACCTTTTATTATTCATTTTTGTGTTATTCTATTTTATTCAAGAAAAATAAATTAAAGCCATTTTATTGAAATAATTCTTAAAATATTTCAATACGTTAATAACGTTAAAATAATTCTTTTTCACTTAAAAATTTCTTTAGGTATCGTTTCTTGGAATACTTTAGAATCCTATCATCGGGCTTAGATTTACTTTTCGTAAAAAAAAAATTGTAGTGCATGTAACGCAAATGATAATATGTTGATGCACATTTTTTATTTTTTTCTTTTAGAAATTTTATTGGCTTTGTCTATTGAATTATTATTATTTTTTATTGTTTTAAGAAAAAATATTTTATCATATTGAAAATTTTTTATAAATATTCTAATACAGTAGTAATATTTTCAAAAAATTTCCTCACCTAAGGATTTCATAGAGCATCATTACTTGAAATACTTTTAGAATTTCATCCTCAGATAAAATTTTCTTTTTCGTTATTTTTTATCATTTTATTTTTTTATTATTAGTTAATTTTTATTTACTATTTTATAACAAAAAAAATTATTATATTGAAAACTTTTTATAAATACTCGAATATACTAGTAGTATTTAAAAAATCTTCACACCTAGATATTTCGTAGGTATCACTACTCAAAGAACCTTTAAATCTCATCATCGTATAAAATTTTTTTTCTTTTACATTTATTATTATTATTATTTTATAAGATTTATTTTAAAATTAACAAAATAAGAGTGCATTATTAAAATCGTATCTTCGAAACAAGGCACCAATCGAAAAGTTTTGCAAAGGTCAATGGTCAACATTGAAAACCAATGAAGAGTGGGTTCTATTCCTATGAAGGCTTACCAAGGATGAAATTGAATGAATGGTGCATTGGATGCCTCATGTGCCCATGTTGTATCATAGAGGAAATAAGCAGTAGATACCGCTATTAGGGCTA